CTGGCTCCGCGGCCATCCCGCACCCGAGGCCGCTGCTCTCGCGATGGCTTAGGCTCGGGCTCCAAATCTCGTTGGCGGTCATCGCCCCTCTATGGGAACCAATCACCGCCTGATCCAAGGAAACGTCATCATCGGGCGCCCTCAGATCTGGCAAGGTCTGGGTTCCAGAAGTATGGACTACTGTTGTGTTGAATGGTTAGGTCTTAGCACTATTTCCTATGAAGTGTTTGGTGTGTCAGACCCTAAACTGTCACCCACGTTGATTAGAAATAGGAGTTTACATCTTGGTCTCCAGAATTCTTCCTGCTAACGCCTCTACCCACGCTCCAAGTCCACTTCAACACCCAGATGCCCATACATTGTCATTTTCCCCCCTTTCTCTGCACTCATGCAACGTAGACTGAGCAATAGCTATTCCGACCTAGATTTATAAGAGCCTTAACTACAATTCCATTATGAAAGCTATAAATTTCTGATTTTTTGAAATAGGAAGAAAGGTTCTTAAAAGCTTCTCAATCTGTCACCATCCCCAAGTAAAATTTCAGAAGGATCAACGTGGAATGAATATCCTCTTTCCTTTGTATTGACAGTAATCCTGACTCGTGTTCTCCTTTGTCCTTCTAACTTCCTCGCAGCTCCCAAGGGGTGACAACCTCTGGCTTGGGAAGCAGTACTCAAGGTCCAGACATCCTATCTGCCGGATCCACCAGAGAGTGCCACCCTGATAACACTTAGAAGGGGACCCTTTAATTAGCTTGTACTGACACAAAAGTTCATTAGGAGCAAACCAGGGGCATTTTACTAGCATTATATAACAGATTACCAGCAAGGGTCATGCTAATAGGCTTGAATCAACTAGGAATTTTACATGAAGCTGAACATAATTTATGACAATTGTGAAACATTTTAATTTATCTAAATTCATAATATGAAATAAGTGTATAATACTTTAAAAGAAAATTGTTTCAAATAATTTTCCATGTATACATAATTCATGTTTGTAGTTAAGTTCAAAATGCAGCTGGTAAGCACTGAGCCTTCTCAATTCACTTTATCAGTAAAAAATTCATGAGACCTTCATGCATATGGATTTCTGCTCATGTGGCACTCTGTTGAAAACTCACATTCAAACTCTATGGGATCAAAGATGCAAGAGACATAGATCCTGTTAATATATTGTCACTATAAAAAAAGTTAAAGGTTTTAACTGAATGTGCTCTCAATTTTCAACAAGATAGTTACCATTTTTAAAGTACTAGAATGAAAGAAGTGCTAGTTCTGAAAGCTATTTCATCTTTGAAAATTTGAAGACTGGAAAGATCTTAAGCAAGACCTCTTGGACTCAGTCCTGTGGCCACTTTAGTACAAAAGATCCATAGAACTTTTAGTCCTCCTTTCATTAAAAAGCAACAACTGAATTAATGGCACTGTTAATTTCCAGACTCAAAGATACAGGTTCTTTCTAGAAAGATGAGTTGTAAAAGTTACTAAAGTTGCTATTATATTTAAATGGAAGTTGTTTAACCCTGATAATTAGGAAGGAGACTAAACTTTCTCCTCAACAAAGGCATTTAAGGATAATTTATGAATATATATAATAGTGGGATGCTATCTTTATATATTATGTCTACCCTCCTTTTTTGCTATTAAATTGTCCTTTATTTTGTGCTAATAGTAAATGATGGTAGGGAATGTTTGAGTTTTAAAGTCCTTTCTTGTCAAAATTTAAAGGTGGCAAATCTATATTTTTGCTAGAAATCTATATTGGTTGAATTTTAGTAGCCTGGGAAATCCTAAAGCCTGACAAACATTGCTTTAGAGACATTGGAAAACTGTTCTCTCGGATTTTTGATGAAATACATGACAGTGAAATTTCCTCTTGGAGGCAGTTTAGCAATATGAAGCAATATCTTAAAAGGAGAGGATGGCACAGATTATGAAGTCATACTTGCTTGAGTTCAAAAACCTGTCTCTACCACTTATTATCTATGTGGCCTTGGAAAAGTTAAACTGCCTATAAAAGTTAAACTGCCATTTTCCTTGCCTATAAATTGGAGAAAATAACTCCTACTTCATGGGATTAATGAAGTAATTGAGTTAATAAATCCATAAAAGCATATAAAATAGCACATAATACATACTAAATAAACATCAGCTATTATTATTGGGTGATGGTGGTGGTGGTGATAAAAGTGTGGCTATTTAAAGACACTTTGGGTAACCAATTACTTTTTGCTGCTACTGCATAAAGAGATTAATTACATGGAAGAGTCAAAGACAAAACAGCCCATTTCAATTGATTAAAGTTTTAGAAGAGGAGCAGTTATTTGTTGAGTACTGTTACAGTTTGGATCTGAGATGACCTCCAAAGTCTCATGTGTTCAGAGGTGGGGCACTTGGGAAGTGATTGGATCACAAGGGCTCTGACTAATCAGTAGTTTAGTTCATTGATGACTGAAAAGACTACTGGGAGATGGAACTAAGATGGAGGAAGTAAGTCAATGGGGGCATGTTCTAGAAGGGTTTATCTTCTTTGCAGACCTTCCTTCTCACCTACTTCCTGGCTGCCATGAGCTGAGCCAGCTTTCCTCTGCCATGCTCCTCCACCATGATGTTATGCCTCACCTCAAGCCCAGAGCAAGGGAGTCAGCCAACTACGGTCTGAAATCTTCTGAAACTGTGAGTCAAAATAAGCTTTTCCTGAAAAAATAAAATAAGCTTTCTTCCATTAAGTTGTTTATGTCAGGTATTTTGGTCACAGCAACACAATATTAACATAAGTGCTTAGCTTATAAATGGCAGGGTCAGAATTCAAACTGAAGACTGTCTTCAAAGTCTATATATAAAGCAACTATAATGTATCACCTCTAAAATGAAGAAAATCATACTAAGCCTTTACCTTATGATTGCCACTAATAGCCTGAAAATATACTAATAGCTCAAGCAGATATATAATCAAATGGTTAAAATGGAGAAAATGTGTAAGATAGAAACAACCCAAAAGTGTACTTAAAAATGAATTTCTATGATGTGCCAAAGGTGGTTGAGGTCTGAGAAGAATTTGATTCAAAATAACAATTCAGTGCCACTAGCAAAATAATACTAAATCCGGGGGAAAATGTTGTGACTAACTTCTTATGCCTTATTTAAAATATAACATATAGTAAGAATAGTTAAATTGCAGTTGAGTGTGTTTCACAATAACAAAAGGAATAGCCTTCTGATAGGAAACTCAGGCTCCAGTGGCAAATCTCTAGGTTTGAATCACTGGTCTTCCTGTTAGCAGCTATTTGACCTTGAGCAAATTACTTAATCTCACAAAAATTCAGTTTCCCTGCCTATAAATGGGCATGATAATGGTACCCAATTCATTAAGTTTTGAGAATTAAACAATATAACATGAGGAAAGCTCTGGGCTCAGTATCTAGTATATAATAATACTCAACAAATATTAGCCACACATACAACTAGAAGTATATGCATTTAAGTCAGTAATTCTCAACCTTGACTGCACAACAGACTTCCTGGTGAAATTTTTATCAGGGACCAGTGACCTGGTCCCAAAGTTTCTGGGTACCTACATTTTTAGAAGCCACTCCCCAGGTAACTTTAATATTTAGCCCATATGTTAGAAACCACTGGTTTAGGTCAAGGACCAGGGGCTGCAGGCCAAATCTGACTCCTAACTTGATTTTGTAAACAAGGTTTTATTAGAACACATATAGGCCTATTCATTTACGTTTTATCTGTGGTTACTTCCTTCTCTCTTTTT